AAATACACTAAAAAACAGTTAAAATTTAGCTAAAAAATATTTCATAGCAAAAAGGTTTTTACAACGAAATAAATTGTCGCATATACCGCATTAGTAAAGGTCTTTAACGACAAATATGACACTCGTAAAAACAAATAAGTTTTTTTTGCAATGAAAACTAAGAAAATAGATATAGTTAAGAAAATATGATTATGTAGCTAAGAAAGTCCAATCTTTGAATCTCTAAGATTATCCAAGTAGAAATCACTTCTTTATCCTTCAATGAGCATGGGTGTTTTTGTTTGAGCTGTACGAGATGAAACCCACGCCATACTTCCAGGAAAACCTCGAACGACCTTTTGACAACAAAATGTGTATAACTTTTTTATTCAAATGGTTTTAGCTATGAAAAATAATTTTGTAGCTAAAACCTTTTTGCAATGAAAGTAGAATTTCTAGCAAAAATATTTAAGCGACGGAATTAATTTTGTAGTACATAATTTATTTTTAGCGATAAAATTAATTTTTGTTGCTAAATGACAAGTTTTAACTACAAAAATATTTCGTAGTTAAAGATATTGTAGCTAATTAGATAATTTTTTGTAGTGATACATATAAAGATATATAAGTAATTAATCTGTGAATGATGAGCTGATTACTATAGTGGTTTGGTCATGTAGAGGAAATAATGTATATGTATATTATATTATCTAGATACAAACAGTTTGGTAAGACTAACTAATTGATTAAGGAATGCCCAGTTAGCCAGTCATGTTGAGGTTGAGGCAATAATTTTGAACACACAGTGGCGAGATGCTTGATATTATCCATGACTTTTTTTTTTTTTAATGCGCTAACTAATAACTTAGCCAAAAGTTGTTTGCACTTTGTTCTCCTCGATAATATGACAATGAGGCTATTTCTATGTAGTGTAAGTTGCTTAATCTCTTTATTGTATTATAATGATAATGATAATGATGATTATGATGTTAATTGACGATGATTAAAAAATAAATTAAATTATTAGTTTGCGGGATATGCTTTCAGTTCTTTGTTATGTATTCATTGACTTTGATCTTTTAAACCATTTCATGTGCTGATAATCACTTTTTATTCTTATTTGAGATATTTTCTTAAAATGTTTATAAACTGTTTTGTATGCTACAAATGATCAATGCAAGTCCTGTAATAGGTAGCATGTTCGAAGTAAATTATATTAACTTTTAGGTTATGTAACTTAATTTGGTAACTAAATCAAGTTTTCGTGTGTTTGTAGAAAGGATCTTCGCTCTTTATTGGTAATTTAGTCACTATTTTGTGTAGAGACTACAATGTCATTTGAAAAGAACTTGACTCTGCAATTGCTTTTTTCCATTATCAGATCTTATTTCATGATAGATCAAGCTTGGTTTCTTGTTGAGTATGGATTAATTTAACTACAAACAGATATTATTTGTGAGCCGATTAAGCCTCCCACGTGATGATTCCTTGACTTGAGTAATAGCTATGAAATTGGCATAACTGACCAATAAAGTAAAAGTAATATAGCTTTTTATTATCATGCAAAGAAACTAACACTCGCTTTAATTTCTCAATTATAATATTTATGTTTAAGATTTTAGTTGAATGGAACACATATATCCAATGTTAGTAAAAGATTTTGTACTTGTTTCATCAGGAAATTGAAGATTTTGAGAATTGAATGAAGACAATGGATCTTGATTATAAAAGCATTGCCGCTACAATCTATACATATGTTTAGTTAAATAGAAGTTCAATTTTATGTCTCTCATAAAATAGATAATCTCTTATAAACTTAAATGGTTCAAATCTTGATTTTACTGATTAAGATGTTTCTCTTTCAATAAAGTCTTGTTTGGAGGTGTTCTGTTAATTATTATCTAGCAGGACTTGTCCCTTATGCGTCAATGTATTCTCATACATTCTACTAATAGTGAAATAAATGATCTAGTCCTCTTGAATTTATTATGGAGTTAATTGCTTGTCGGACTACACAGAATAAAAAAAATGAATCTATTTTTAAACACCCGTTGTTACTAGCTAAGGATGATGATGGATGTAATATGCATCTTACATTCATTTTACATATGCTTTTGGTTTATGTTGTTATAGGAAATGATTGGTACTTTTGGTTATAAACATTTCCATGATTGTTAGACGTTTATAAGCTTGATCATTTTTTGTGCCGTCGGGAGAAATTAAAATTGTTTCTTTCTCAAAATCCAATTGCATTTTTAACCTTGTCAAGAACAAATGTATGTATATTTGCATATATTTGAATTGGAGTTAGAAACCATGAGCTTTCATATTATATATTAGTTTTTAATGTGTGGTTTGGAAAGAATGATTGCAGATGTCTCAGTACGAAAAAAAGATGTTACACAAGCAGCGAATTCATCAGTTTGCTCGATATGCCATGCACTTGAAGTAGGCTGTGGAGGAAAAGTGGGGTGAGAACGTGGCAAGTACATCTACTGATATGTAAATTTAGTGTTTTGTAGGTATGTTAAATCATTGTACAAAAGACCGTTCAATAATATCAGTTAATAATTTCTCTGAATGTGCCACGATATCAACAACAACAAATGCAACAACGGTTGTTTCACTTAGGATCATCCAAGGAGATACACTAGGTTAGAATATATTATACTACTCTCCATTGACGTGTTTTAAAATATGTATACTAAAAATCTTGAAAATAAGAGTTTTCGGTCCTAGGTTTGAATAGTCTGTGGTAAGGAAACATGACAATGACGGCCTAATTGTTAAATACTTTTCATTTAATAGAAACCATATATATAAGATATAACTTGTTTACGAATTCTAGGAAGGCATGGATGTCATCGATGAAGAAATGTCTCAATTTGGAGATACACAGTATAGCCGTGATGATGCCTTAATTTTCTTGGTCATCGGGATAAGAAAAGGAGGATATTTGGGCTTGGATCATTGGCATCGAAGGTGTCACAGATCGTAGCTCATTCACCATTGATGGTCGTGTGTTTGGTAGTTCCAATAGGCTGTAACAATTTAACCGTCCAATTGCCTAATTGCCCCGCAGTTGCAATTATTCTCCAACAACTTTTTCAACTGCTCTCAAATGTTGTTTCAGCTGCTGAACTATCGTCCCTGATTTCTCTATAAATAGGAGCAGGTAACATTGTATAATTTACGCTTACACAAGTGTATGGTGAAAATTACTGCTATTTTGTTCTTTCAGCTTTCAAGAACTCCAAACTATAAGGAGTTCTCTTTAGTTTAGTGGAGGTCATGTGATCAATGTAGCTTTGTCCACCCCGGACCCCATTCAGTTCAACCTTTCCAGGCAGATGTAATTACTTTATTTATTGTTTTTATTCTTGCTTTTATAATGTAGATTTACAACTATTTAGTATTAATGAAATATCATCTTCATCTCTATCTTCATTCAAAATCTCATGTTTGTATTTGATTGTTTATGTATTGATTCTTGATAAATTGTTGGAAGCGAGAGAATGATTAACTATTTAAGCCTATAATCATGTTGCAATAACATAGTAGTTTGTAGAAATCAAGTACGCAGGAGCTTTGTAGACATGCTTAGTTGTGATCTGAATTTAATTTTAATTAAAAAGATGTATCGAAGGGGGTAGAGCAACTAGTAAAACAACGTAAATAATAAATTATTAGACATAGACATTTGGTTAACGGGTCATAGAAATATAAAGTAATACTGGTTTTTTTTATTAAAATAATATTTTTACCTAGGTGTCGCTGAAGTCTCACTATAACTCTCTTAAGGTCAAATACTAGTAGAGTAAAAAATCTAATTTAAATGAACAAGTATAATCACACAATTTACTTATGTCATTTTTGCGTTATATACGCTCCATTATTTCACCATCATCATCGGCTCACTTTATCCAAAAAAACTTCTAACTATTTAGTAACGCACAGATCACTCACCAACATCTTTTACTCATCCTACCATCAAATATATGACCACTCACCAGTATATTCTTGCTCACACCCACTACTCATGCAATTCATCCTTATAAGTATACTATTCACACAAAATCTTTCCGCTCTACTACCATCCTTACTACACTCACCAGCTAAAAATCACCATTTCGTCACTTTCATGGCTCCACTCACTTTACTGCTTTATTTACATAATTGTTTGCTACTATTTTTCTTGCTCAAGTGAGACCTATTTACATTTCTACTATTCCAAACTCACATGTAAATATTTTTCTAATTTCATTTCATGACTTAAAATCTCTGTATTCAGCCATTGTGTGTGTTTTAAAATTGAAGGCTTGGAAGTATGGGACTGACACAAATTAACCATAAATAGAAACTTTTAGAGCCCCACCATTGTGTTTGTTGGGTGTATTTGTTTGAAGGATTTTGAAAGATTTCTACTATTCATACAAAAAAAAATTTCTCCAAAAACGTTGAACAAACGGTAAGGCCAACTCTGTATACTTGGATTTCTAGGGTTAGCAAACATGCCAACTAAGAGGTTTTAGCAAGGATGACAGAAAGGAAACCTGAAGGCTGCTCGGGACTATGGGGCAAGAAAAAGCTTTCATTCTCCGACCCTTACTACCCAACCTGAGAATGGAAAACAACTTAACTTCATGAAAGCATCCTCCTTAGGGTCACAATATATAGCATTAATCTTTACCGTCGAGGACTCGCGAACAAGAGTAATCGATGGCCGGAGAATATTCCGACCATATAGAACCTATTACTAAGTACCACCGGTGTAGTGCCTCATGGTTAGCCCGAAGGAATAATCCATATTCATAAGAGGACTATGTTCTATCTTTTTAGACACTCAAACTAACTAGAGAAATTACCTATCATGCCAGTTGGGACCATTATCAAATTTCCTTTGTTAGGATGGATTAGGCGTAAAGAGAAAGCAAGCCCCGCAAACAGTTCTCTATATCAAATCAACCACTTATTTTTTATTCTTTATTATTATACTAAAAATTAATTTTATATTTAAAACATCACATCAATATTTACTTATATCATTTCATAAACTATTCCACGCTCAGAGAAATAAAGAAAAACAAAAAGACGAGTACACAAAACAAACAAATCAAAATACAACAAACAAACAACAGCGTGTGGTAACTCAACTAACATGAGGAGAAACTTAGAGAGAGTTACTTATATAAGGAAGATGAAAGCATGTCATTTGGAGGAGTGAGTGGCAGCCAAGACAAGAGAAGAGAAGAGAAGATGAGTTGATCTGATCTGATCAACAACCACCACCAGTACTAGTACTAGAGTGTTTTCGTTTCGAGAATGCCTTGGACATTCCAGACCGTTAAAGACCCCTGCTTTTGGAGCTCACACGACTGCAAACCATTCAAAGCTTTTCCCATCAGGGCCATCGCTGCAATGCTCCTCCTCCCCCTCCTTCGAGGGAACTCCTCCTCCCCCTCCTCCTCCTTGTTATCGATGTCCTCCTCACGTTGACCCTCACCACCTATACCTTCACCTTCTTTGCTTAGTGTTTTAGTAGTAGTAGCGGTCTCCTTACACTCATCATTTTTCTGCTGCTGCAACCATCTTTTAATCCAACCATGCGAAAGCAGCAACCGCCTCTTCTCCTTTAACGTCGTAGTAGTCTCTGTGTCTGACATAATCTCCGTTGGGGTTGGGGTTGGGGTTGGGGTGCTTACTTCTTTGGGTGGAGTTGGTTCTGAGCTAACAACGCCACTATCCACTATTCTTAAAAGCTTCCCCATTTTTTCGGAAGAAGAGTTTTCACCTGAACTTGGGCTCGGAGATCTCAGCTTCAGCCGCTTCACCCATCTCATGATTGGATCAGTTTCGTCCATACAAGGGTTGGATTTACGCTTAGGCTGCTCCGCCTCTGCCTGGACCATGTCAATCTCCAAACTTTGCGTCCTTGACGGGCTACCATGAGCATTCTCTGATGAGCTTGTGCTAGCTGGCAATGCAGGTAGGTCTAGGTTGATATCAGGTATCCCCGTGTTTTTCTGGTGACATCCAAATTCTTGGGAAGCAACAGCATCAATCTGAGATGAAAAAAATATATGGAGTCATAGAGAAGCACCATGATGCATTCACATATTAATATTGTTATTGCAGAGTTTCCACGTAAGCAGTTACAGCAGATACATAAAAAGTATTAGATATTATTTGAAAAAGAAAGAAAGAACGCCTAACTTGCACAGTTAACTGTAGGAAAAAGTATTTGAGGTATCCTTATCCTTATCCTCATCCAAATATTTTATGCTAATGGTAATATTTGAGTATTCAGGTTGGAATATCTGATCAATGCTATGAAATGATCATGCAAAAAAAGCATATGTATCAAATTATCTCGTTAATCAGGTGAGCACAGCCTTCGTGTGTTCATTGGGCATAAGGCACACCATTGCCCTGATACTCTCAATTTCCATACAAAATTAGTGCACATATGTTATAATATGATAGCAATAAATCTATTGCAATGTTGAACCTAGGAAACAAGGCACTGGACAATGGGAGAACAAATTTATTTTGTGAAAATCAAGAAGATAATCTGATGAAGATTTGAAAGCACATGTACAGATGCTTAAATTGAGAATGACAAGCACAGCCAAGTACCTTAATTGAGGGGTTACAATTTCCACCTACAACAAAGAAAGAAGAGAAATAATGTAAATAAGAAACGAATTAGTAGTATTATAAATTGCACGCAATTTACATCCGCAAGAATGCAACAGGTAACAGCCATCACTTGAGAATATTACAGCAAGATCAAATGTACCAGATTAAAAGATATGTATTTTTTCAGATCCTATATAATGATGAATTTTAGCAGAACTAGAGATGCAAAATTAATATATACCAGAATTTGAATTTTCCTCCTTAAAAATATCCATGTCCATGGTATCTGTATCCGCTGATGATTCGTTTTTTATTGTGACTTTAGAAGCTTTAGAAGCTTTGGCATCTTCAACATATATTTTCTCACCACTGTTGGAAGAACTACAAAGAGGTTGCAGTGTGACTCCTCTATTGCCTTGACTGGAAAATGGCCACATACTATGAGTATGAATATCACGAGGTGATTTCCCATTCATTTCAGTAATCAACTGTTTCTTTCTAAAAAGGTTCTTTGACAAATCGGCATCAGTCTTTTTTGTGATTAGCAAACTGTTAGTGGTCTTTGAAATTCTAGGAAAACCTTCAGGAGTAGCTTCTACTGAATCCACAGTGGTGCATATTCTCATCGTTTCTATATCTTGAACACAAGTCGGCAGCTTCTGTATGGAGTAAAAATTGTAATGTGATTGCTTTGATTCTGTGTTCTCTGAAGCTATGAACTGTTGTCTTGGAAGCAGTGGGATACCTGGACACTTCTGCACCTCTGGAAGAGGGTCTTGACCAACCAATGGAAGATGTTTCTCATTCATGGATGGAGAATTAAATAGTGAAATTTTATTAAAATTCCTGAATGACCCGTCCTTGCAGCAGTGATCGTGTTTAAGCATTCTCAATTTAGGATTTGGCAGTTGATCATCTGCTAAAACAGAAGGTCTCTTAAACAATAGAGATGCTACGGCTTTTCCTGTGCCAAAGTTGAGGCTTTCAAGATTGGAGTGTGGCTGAATATGAGCCGATGATTCAAAGGCTTCCTTAGAAAGCTTTATTGATGCAAAGTCTGTAGATGAATGAGCTTTTACCCAATTTTGGGGATTTTTCGAAGTTCCTTCACCTGGAGGATAACATCTCTCAAAATATGCTTCATTGGCAGCTGGAATCCCAGAAGATAACTGATTCCCAGTTTTAAACTTAATGGCTTTCCCTCGCTCAGGGTTGTGACCAAACTCTTGTCTTGATGCTTCCTCACTATCAGTTTCTTGGCATGGAATCTGATTTTCCAAGCTTTTTATAGATTCAATGGTCTTAGGGTCAACCACCTTTAATTTGTTGACATTCCTAGCAGGTTCCAATGCATTTGAGAAATCACTGGTTCTAGATACAACATGACATTGATCATCTGCAAAAGCACCGGTGGCCTTACATCTCTCTGCTGCTGCATTACTGAGTGGTCGGATCCAATGAGCCATCCAAACAGGCTGGTATGTTTCTACAACTTGTCTACTCTTCCCAGGACTATCCGTAGCTGAACTCATCTTTTGCAGGAATATAAAACTCGGATTCCGTTTAAATCTTCATCTTCAAAATTTCATCTACAACACAAACTTTCGAAAATTCAAGAACCAGAAAGAGAAATCACTAACAGCACATTGCTAGCAATAGAAAGCAGCATACGACTACCCTAAGAAGTCGAAACATCAGTTAAAATTGATTTTGATAAAGCTCAATAAAAAACATCAGTACATAATAAAACCAGTAAAATCTTCAAAAAAGCCAAATTTCCTCACAACCACGAAAATAACTAATTCAGAAATACCAATCCAACGATATGATGTGAAAGAATAAAAAGCCGCAGGACAAAGCAAAATATCAAAAAATAAAACTACAAATACACGAACAACTAAGAGATCAATTTCAATTACAGTTAAATCAGCCATTTCTCCTAATCGAGTATTGCAAAAGCAAGCTATCAAATCAAAGAACTATAAACAACCACCTATCTACACGCAGACGCGCACCAAGTACAGACCAAAATCTTCCACAAGATGCAGCAAATTCCCTTGCGACCTTAAAAACCAGATCATATTGACCAACAAAAATGAATATTAAACCTCGAAAAGCAAGCAAACGCCCGAATTCAGCTGCCTATGGATGTCTCCGAAGATGGAATCTGAAACTAGCCGGGAAAGGGAAACAATAGAAAATTGGAGCAAGGAGAGAGTGAGAGAGAGAAAGAGAGGGGTCAATTATTAAGCAGGTGTATACAGAGTTGTGGTGTGTGGCTACGAGGAGCGTGGGTAAATATACATACGTACTCATAAGTAGAAAAGTGGATGAGAGAGAAAGACTGTTTGATCCGTGTTCTTGTATATTTTGTGTGGAAAGCTATTTTTTTATTTTTTTATTATTATTATTTTGAGGACGTGGAAATCCGTAAAGGCTATTCGAAATTGTGCACTGGATAAATTTTTGGCTAAATTTAATATCCAACAAATTAGGCCCGACAGACAAATCGCACTAGGTCAACCATGTGTGACAGGTGACGTGAGGCTTCGGAATTTGAATCCGTGGTGGAAAGTATTGTTGCATTGTATTCTCCCATACGTCAATTTTAGAATTTATACTGCTGGTATTGCTGAAATTTGTTAAAAAATTTTATAGTTGAAGGTTTTTATAATGTAAATGACTGATTTTATTGGATGAATTGATTTGGATTGTTTTCTATTTGAGAGTATGGGTACAAATTGATTTGTGTCCTCTTTTTAAGATTTCAAAATTTGAATTTGTGTCATAATATTCATGTGAAATGGCAAAGAGTTCCTTCAATTATAGAAGTGTAATTTTGTTAAGCTATTGTGCAATGTACCATATGACAATTTACATATTGAATATATGGTCGTAGGATTTTTTCCTCGACAAGTCATTGTATTTGCTCAAATGACAAAAGACTAATTGACGAGTAATCACAAAAAATAATATTGTGACGCTAACATTCTAATAATATTGAAAAAATTATTCTAACTATCTTATTATAAAATAAAGATAAATTTGTACTACATCGGTTCACTTACAAAATTTATATATATTTTTGGATAAATTTCATATGTCCATCATATGTTATGCTTTAATTGCATAAAACACTTTTTGTTAAAAAAAAATAGCACAAAACATATGTGTGTTAGTCATAATGATGCATAATACATTTATTCCGTCTTAAATTAGCAATAGTAAATTACACGCACTCATTATGCGAAGATGATTCTATAAATTAGAATAATCAATTATGAAATGACTTAAATACTCTTACTTTAATTCATTAAGGATAGATCTAAACTCATTCATATTTCTTTCCTCTGTCAACATCCTTTTCGTCTTCTTCTAGCATTGGAGAGAAATGGAGATATTTGGAAAAAGCAAGTAATGTTTTTAGCGTCGAAATCACTCGTTATCGTCTTTAAGGTAAAATGAACTGATTTCAACTCTAATTCTATCGTTATATTAAATTCAATTTTCAAAGAATTTTCCAAAATAGTTTTATCTATCTATTCGAGAATAACAAGATTCGAAAGCAAAACCACTTGAAGTGTAAATAATCGATTTAGGCTTCTCAATTTTAGTGGTTTTATTGTTTGGAAATGCAATTAAAAAAAAGGATTTAAAATCCTTTTTTTGTAGTTTGCATTTATGAGTGTTTTTATATAATTTTATTATTTTATGTTATTTAAATCATAATCGTTTTATTATTTTATATTTGTGATGCTTGGTAAAAAATTTAAAAGTCAATTTTTTATTTTTATTATCTCAAATAATTGGTTAAGAATTAAAAATTCAAAAATAATCCTCTTTACTTTCTTATATTATGATGTTTGGTGGATAAAAATGAATCAAAAATTTTCTTTTTATGATTTTATATTTCGAATATTTGGTTGAAAAAAAAACTTAGCCAATAATTATCCTTTTTTCTATATTTGGAAAATTAGAAGAAAAAAATATGATTAAAAATGTGTGATTTATTTTTAAAATTATTTTTTTCACTCCTATTTAGATATTCTATTTATAATTTGGCGATTTAAATATTTTTGGTTTATTCTTTGGGAAAATTGCAAAAAATGCCATGTATCTAGATCTAATTATCATTTTCGAACATTTTTTTTCTACTTTTGTAATTTAAGACATTATGTGTACTCTGGACATTATTTTTGCCCTCCGGCGCCGAAAAAACGCACGTGACCATCAAGTGCGCCTTCGTGGCATGACTGGTGCATATGTGGACGCGACCGTTACTGTGTTGTCGTCCGCGTGGTCGTCAGACAGGTGACGTGGAATTATTTTTTTTTACTTTTGCAATTTAGGACATTATATGTACGTCAGGTATTATTTTTGCCCTTTGGTGCCGAAGAAACAATTTGCTCTAAGTTTTTTTTATTTCAATTTGATTCAATTAGTTATTTGCAATTTAGTCCAATTGGGTCAAATTAAAATTTTAAAAAAATATAATTTTTTTAAAAAAAATAATTTCACCTAACCTATCCGACGACCCTGGAACAAATTGTTTTTTGGAACCGGAGGACAAAAATAATACTTAGAGTACACATAATGTCCTAATTTGCGAAAGTAAAAAAGAAAGATAATTCCATGGCACTTGTACGATGAGCACGCGGACAACAACACAGTAACGGCCGTAGGCTATGCCACGTAGGCGTAAGTGACAATCACATGCGTTTTTTTGGCTCCGGAAGACAAAAATAATACTCGAAGTACATATAATATCCTAAATTATAAAAGTAAAAATAAAAAATGTTTGAAAATGATAATTGGACTTACATACTTGACAATTTTTGCAATTTTCCGTCATTCATTTTATAGTTTATTCACTATTTAATAGGAGAAATTATCTTTCCATGGAATATTATAGTCATTTATTATATAGAGAATATTATGTGACTAAATAAAGAAAAATTTATATTGATTTACAGTGATTGACGTTGGAATAAGAAAAAAAAATTTTATATTGATTTACAGGGATTGACTTTGGAATAAAAAAAAAAAAAATTTATATTAATTTACAGGGATTGACTTTAAAATAAGTAAAGAAAATTTTATATTGATTTATAGGAATTGACTTTGGAATAAAAAAAACATAGTCTACCATTAATTAATTTTTATGTTATTTACATGTATGTTAAAAATAAGTAAATCAGCAAATGTATATATATATATATATATATATATATAGTATTTTGCATATTTAGACTATAAAAGATTGGAGGAAATGAGTACTAAATTAACAATTATGAATTAAATTACTAAAATATACATTTAAGATTAGAACACATTAAATTTGTATGATTAAAAATATAGTTATTATTAACATTATAAAATATATATATTTACACATTTAAAAATAGATATTTTATTTATATAATAATAAAAATATTTATATAAATAAATCTATAAAAAAATAATTACGTATTTTGTTATATTTACAATAAAAATTAAAATAAATATTTCGGTATTTAACATATATATAATTCTAAACCACCCCCAAAATAAATAATAATTATGTTTGCTTTTGTGGTTATTATTATTATTATTAGTATTGTTATTATTTTAATAATTTAATTTAATTTTTTTGTTATAACAAAGGCTATATTATTTTTTTTAGTCCCGTAATTGGACATTTTTATCATTTTAATCCCGTAAGTGGAACCTGTCGCAAACTAGTTCCATAAGTTAAATTTTTTTGCTGTTTTAGTCATCCAGCGCCGGAGACACTCTCGTGGCTCGCCGGAGGCTCCGTGTCCGCCAGGTCAGCGATACCTGGCGGATACGTGGATTTATTATTATTTTTTATTTTTTTAAAAATTTATTTTTAATTTTATTTGTTTTTTTATTTTTTTTATTTGGTCCAATTGAAAAAAAATTAAAATAAAAAATAAAATCCATGAAACAACAAAAAATCCACGCGGGCGTCTCCCGCACCGGAGGACTAAAACAACAAACAAATTTCACTTATGGAACTAATTTACGACATACTCCACTTACGAAAGTAAAATGATAAGGGGAACAGTTACGGGATTAAAAAACAGTTTACGGTATAACAAATAGTATATTTGCATTAGAGCCTAATAAAAAAAATTAATAAATTATTAATCTTACTCTTATATTTATATAATAATTTTTAATATATATATAATACATGATACTGAAATATACAATACATAATTATCTACAAAGACTAACACCTAAACTAATATCATATGACATAATTCCGAATAATAAATAACACCTAAACTAATATCATATGACATAATTTCGAATAATAAATTCAACAGTTGATTTCAATACAAATAAAAATAATATATCAATGCAATAGGTCTATATTTTATATTTTTTCCACCTTTTTAATTGATTATTTTATATGGTATATATATTTTTTTAAAAAATAAAGTGAATCATACATTTAATTATTTATAAATAATTATAATATTATTGAAAAACCTTAAATAAATTCATATACACTATAAATATTACTATCTCCGTCCCGCGCTAAGGGTCTTATTTATTTTTTGCGTATTGATCCTTAAATATTAATTATTATATCAAACATAATACAAATTAAAAAAAAAAATTTCAAATATAATACAAATATATTATAATACTAATAAAAGGACATTTATAAAAAAAAATTATACAAATATAAGAATATTTGTAATGTTGAGTACAGTAATACAAAAGATAAATATGATCCTTATAAGCGAACAGAAAAAATACAATTATTTTCTATTGGACCGTGTGTAACACGGGACTTCCGCTAGTATATGTGTATATGTAAACGTGTATATATATAGAGAGAGATAAGTTTGTATTTAGGGTTTGTTCGTTTGAAGAATTTTACCAAAATTCTATTATTCATTCAAAATTTTTCCCCTAAAAACATCAAATCAAACACCTATTTTTTATTTTTTATATTATACTAAAAAATCAATTTTACATTCAAAACATCACATCAACACCTATTTATATCACATCATACAATTATTCAAATTCAAAATTTTTACTATTCAAATCTCAACTCAAAATTCAAACCCCCAACAAAGAATTACGTGCGTTTTTAACTTTCTAAGAGAGAAATGTATAGAGAGATGAAAAGGAGAGAAATGTGTGTAAAAAATCATCTATTTCATTATCACACAAATGTCTATTTATTGACATTAAGTATTAGTCAATACATTCCTATGACGTGTCACTAAGGGTGTGTTTTGATTATGAGATTTTTCTTTCAAAATTTACTATTTATTAAATTATTTTTGTCAAAAAATTAAATCAAATATCTATTTTATACAATACTAAAAATTTATTTTATATTCAACTTATCACATCAAACACTTATTTATATTATATCATACAATTATTGTGATTCAAAATTTTTATTATTTGAATTTTAATTAAAATTTAAACTCCCAAACAAACACACTTTAGAGGCAGCAAAAAATTATATAGAGCTATTCCTTATATAGTCCGGGGTATGAGGATTAGACTTATATTTTGCCGCTCCCAAAAGCCGGAGGCTAGTTTCGTCGCTGAACAGTCTAACCATGACATGTTAAATATATGAAAAATTAATTGACATCTATACATGATATTAGACTAATCACAATAGACCAGAGAAACCATCCAAAGAAGTTAACCAAAGCAAAATAATAATAATCATAATAATAATAATAATAAATAAATAAATAAATAAATACACAATTGAGAGTGAGAAACCCACCATTTTGCTGTATATAGATATTTTATTTTCTATTATTATTATGGACGATGTGCGTCGTTTTGGAGGATTGGAAATCGTAATGAAGTCTGATGTGCATTCCACATGGGAGTATACGACGTCGTTGCGTTGCGTGTTCCTTCCATCACTCTGGAGATTCACAGGCTCCCAATTTTCATTTGACCTAATAATCTAAAACCTCCCGCGGAATTATTCTGCTTAGCCGCTATACTGTTTAGAAGGTAAACCCTAATCTGGTAATTGTTGTCAGCATTTCTTAATCGCTTTTGCTGGTGTAGGATTCATCGTTTTCCTAACTGGTATATATACGACATTCTGTCAAGGATTATGTTTTCTTTATCTCGGAATGTACTTGTATCGATCTGGTTCATTTGATTTCGTTGTTAGTAGTGACAGATTCGATGTCTTTTACAGAATTACGGAGATATTTGAGGTTTTAGATTTCATCATCATTTAATACCGTTAGAATAGTAATTGAGAATCTAAATTGTTATGGAGTTTGTTTTGGGATGAATTCAAGAGGGTTTGTTGGAGGCAAATTTTATTTTCGTTGCTTCTAGTTTTTTCACTATTCATACGCTGCTGGGCTGCATTTTGTGGCAAGCAGTGTAAATTTGGGTTCGTGTTGGCTTAATAAAAATTGTGTTATTGTTTAATTAAATCAAATGGAGAGTTTAATTAATAATTATTTCGGAGTAGCCTTGATTAGGATATATCTTATTTCCCTCTACTGGAAAATGGTATTTGTCTTGTTACTAATTTTTCCTTTTTCTTTTTTTTTTAATTTTTATGAACCTCAATGTATCCCTACTGCAATCTGATACACACACACACACACATATATATATATATATGGATTTGTGTGTTTGTGTGTACGCTTGCATTTTTAAATCTTAACCAGTCCCTTGATTGCAGACCAATATCATCTCTCTCAGATTTTCTGGAGTTTAAAGCCTTTAATAATGGAGGGGGTTGGAGGTGATGGTCCCCCAATAGCAGTAGCAGCTTTGAACCAGCGAAGGCATGAAGTGTCGAAACTTTTACAGTACTATTTAGATAAATCAACTCCCCATACTCTTTATCGATGGATTGGAACTTTAGCTGTATTGTGTGTTTATGCCCTGCGGGTTTACTACCTTCAAGGATTCTACATTGTTACCTATGGTTTGGGGATCTACATTCTGAATCTTCTCATTGGATTTTTGTCACCACTTGTTGACCCGGAGCTGGAGCCTACGGATGATGGCCCAGTGCTGCCCACAAAGGGCTCTGATGAATTCAAACCATTCATTCGACGCCTCCCTGAGTTCAAATTCTGGTATTTATATCTATTTTATTCGTTCACTATTTATGTCTTCATAAGAGTTTAATTGTATTATGCTCTGTAACATGTGTATTTATTTAGCATGCTTAGTTGCTTCTTATCAAATGTATTCCAAGATGTCTTTCAAACTTTATAATTCTTCCATCATAAGAAAGCACAATGAGGCAGTAGAAATTTGAAAATTCTGAATGCTTTCAGGACACAAGATTAGGTAAGAAAGATGCTTACCTGTTATCCCCAACATCTTCAGTTGCCTTGCATGTTGAACACATGTGCAAGATTTGGCCATAATTTTCTGACAATTAGTCTTTTGGGAAGAATAACTTAAAATTTTTAATGTTAATGATGTCTGGGATTTAGATGATGAACATCAAGCAACTTTTACTTGCAGATTTTCTCTGTTTTCCAGCTGAAGTGCTCAAGTGTTTTCTTCTATTTCTTGAATTGGTAGACCAATCTAATCCACTTGCATTCCACTTCCTGGATTTTTGATGAGTGCAAGGTGATCTTGTTGCTTATTGATATTTATCCCATTCTGTGTTAATTTAACACTATTTGAATTGCCACAAAGTGCAAGGCCTGTGCAATGGCATGGCGCATGGAGCGCACTATAAAACCCTAATAAATAAAAATAAATAATATCTAAATTGCTCCTTGTGCGCCTCAGCACACCTCTGGATGTAGTGTGCTCACCATAGCCAATGGCAAAGAGGCTGTGCCATGTGCCATGGGCCCATGGCATGCTGTTTACAACTACAGTTGAACATTATATACAGCAGCACACTGTTGACGTGATTGTTACTTGAAAGAACTCTTGTATTGTTAGGTTAGCTTAAGTATTATGTTTAAAATGTAATTTGTAGTACTTGGCTCTATCTGCCCTCCAGCTTGCATTCTTGTATTATTTGTATGAATTATAGTTTTGGTTTCATGGAAATGAAATCATATGCTAATGATATTGGAAGAATTTACTTTCTGGATTCTGGAAGGAATGAAATGCTTATGGTAGATATCTTACATTTATGTTGCCCATTTACATTTAAAGGTTTGTGAGTGACACTAGAATTATAGAAAGATATAAGTTTTTATTTACTTTATGTATCTTGATGAAGACATTGTACAATGGAAGAACTCCTGTTGTATGTATCTCTCTTTGTCAATAAAGAATCAATGCCGATGATGAATTTTGATTTTACATTTTCAGGTATACCATCACAAAGGCTTTCTGTATAGCAGTAGTGATGACCTTCGTTTCGATGTTTGATGTCCCGGTATTCTGGCCTATATTGTTATTCTACTGGCTCGTGCTCTTTGCCCTAACAATGAGACGTCAAATATCACACATGATCAAATACAAATATTTACCTTTCAACATTGGGAAGCAGGTGATATCAAAATTCTGTCTGCTCCACTGCAATATACTTTTTCTCGCCTAAAAGATACTATTTCAATTCTGGTTCTGAGTGTTGGTAATTTTTGGATAATGTTATTGTTAATCCTGAGGTTCTTGTCTCACAGCAGACATACAAAGGGAAAAAACCTGCTTCTAGTGTCAGCAGTCCCCGAGCAAACTGAACTTGACCTGGTTCATAGAATCGAGCCGATTTAGAAGTGCAGCGGAAATTTCAAGAGAAGGCAAAGGAGATGACAAAGCATAGCTAGAGCGTGAGGATTGTATTTACATTGAGATTTCGAGGAACACCTTACCCTACCCTACCCTGTTAGTGAATTCTCCTTACAGTAGTAGATTAGTTGCCTCTTGTTATTTCGTTGTGGCAGCAAAACTAAGAATATCATTGTTCGGAAAGGGAAGACTTCTTTTTCTGGGTGCAAGAATTGAATTATATTGTCTTTCTTATATTCAAGTTGATTGAACTTGATTTTTTGTTGTTATTATTATTTTTTTTTTTTTGTTTTGTTTTCTACTATTCTTCATACCCAACATGTTCTTTTGTTTTTATTCTTGCATTCTGTTTTTGCCCCTTCGAAGGGGTATTATGCAACAAATTAAAATAGACTATTTTATTGTAATACTCCAGAATTGGGTCGGTGCTAAGCCAACTCCCGTGGAGGAGCAGGTGCCAGACCATTTGAGGTTGAATATAAATTAAATTGATTGAATAGACTATTCATATCAACAATATGCACATTTTTTTTTAAAGCTCTACGTGACCGATGGGTAACCCCTAGGAAGTCTCCCAGGGTGGTCAGTCTACGATCTCGACACCCTCGACTTTGCGTGACTTGCGGACCGGGTATCACATTTATATAAATATTCTATGTATTTATTTGATACTTTTTATTTTTACAGTCCGAAATTCTCGGTCTCCACAGCCTTCGCCGAAGTTGGGTGTTCAGGTTCTTCGGGTACATCGGTTTCTATGTTAGTTCATTTCTTTGTTTGGATTTTTTGTTAATTTATTTTTAATTTTTTTTTTGTATTTTTGTCTATCGAATCCGGGCTAGGTTCTTTGGGTTCTCCTTTGATTTTGCCCGTCGGTGGTAGTTTGTAGTGAAAAAGTGAGCTTTGATTAGTTGCGGTTGAAATTTTGTTAAGGATCTATTTCGAACATATTGTTTTTGTGTTTCGAATGTGGGTTTGAGTATGGTATTTGGATTTGGTAATTCGGTCTAGAAAAATTATTTTTGTGGGTTTTTTATCCAAATTTGTTTGAAACCCTTTTGGGTTCTTAAGAATTTATATAGGTTTTGTAGGGGTGAAATTTGTTTGGGTGTTTTAGGTATCTTTTTATGTTATTCTTCGATCTATATTATTAAAATTTCAAATTATTTTTTCTTGAGAATTTATTATTGCGTTTGTTGATAAGAAGTTTAATTATTGTGTGTATTAACAACTTGTGGTTTTGACTATCGCATTTTAACTTTTGTTTATCAATGGAGATGCATTTAGCAGCTCAAAAAATCAAAATCCAGATGTACGGAAAATCTTGAACTAAGGTATAGGAGTCCAAATGCAAGAGTTGGACCTTTGCGGCTATTCGGGTCGTCGGTCCAACGAAGGAGACACAAGAAAAACTATTTTGCAATTGCCGAGTAGGAGCATGTTATTTCTTCTGTTGGCTTAATCTTGTAAGCACACGGATTGGAGAGTGGAGCAATGATGACAATGAAAATAACAACCCGGAGGCTGCATTTGTGGTTGAGCTTCTGAAAGAAAAAAAAAAAAATGATTGTGAATGAAACGTGTAAGTTGAAGAAGGTTGTGGAAGAACTACTCCATGAAATTAAAGTTTTGCGAGTTACAATGAGGTATATCAAGCTTGTCATGGTCGTTGTAGTAGAGTTTAGCATATTCAATTTTTTGTTTTAATTGGCGGGTATGTCCTCCATTCATGTTGATCCGAAACGTTTGGATGTTCCAATCGTAGTGACATTTGTTGATTAAACGAGATGGTTATATTTTATATTTGTAGAAAACTCGTTTGTTGACGAAGACGGTCATGCTTGTTGTCAATCCAACACTTATAAATTGTAGTAAACTTGATCGTATTTTAGATTTGTAGTAAACTCGTTTGTGGAGTTTGAAACTTAGACTACGATGTGCACAATATTATTAATTGTATTTTACATCCATACCATCTTACATGCAGATGAAGACATTACATGTTGTTTCTACTTTTCCTAAATACAAGAAAGGAATATACTCCTTAAACTAGGCACAAAACAAACGAAATATTCCAAAATATAGCAAATACACAATACTTTCCTTAACTTAGGCACAAAAGACAGGAAGTACACAATATTTCCATTGTCGTAGGCACATAACGTAGGGAAAAAAGGCATTCACAAGTCCAATTTATAGTGCTACCATAATAATAAAAAAAAAAAAACATACGATCAAACTGGTCCGTTTACACTGTAAACCTGTTTGAAATCTAACGGGTCATCATCACAAATCATACATTACAAAATTTCAAGAACGACCCTAGGAAAACCCACCAGCTAAGGACGCTTGACGCCCACCTAACCCGAGGGAGAGTAACATTCAAAGAAGTGATGACTAAGATAGACGTCAAGTCGCCAAACTTCTTTCCGTTGTCCCCGATGGACCCTGTGCATGCAAGGTACATTACATCGATTATCTAGAAAAATAATTGTTACAAGGTTGTATTTCTTACCAACTAAATGAAGAGGGTTTCGAGGCTTACCATATGCACCTGTGATGACTGAGTTGTTGGTGTCAATTTCTCTGCACCTTGGACAGTGGAAGCAACCTAACGAGCATTTGAAAAAAACACAATAGCCATCACTTTCATCGGCCCCTATAAAGTGATACTAAAAAAAAAATCAAGAACAAAATTAGCTGCTTACCTGTTGGGCATGAGAGCAATTTTCGAGCGGCTGGGTGGTGGGACCTATATTCGATGTGTTCTGCTGATTTGAAGTGCAACACCAGTTAGCATAAACGTAAACAATATGTGAGGCAAGGTTGCAAAAAATAGATATTGCATAAAACATGTTATTGTACTACATTAGATATTGTATTAAACAAAACTTCATATTGCTGCACCATTTTTGAATAAAAATTCATGTTGCTCCACTCACAATCTTTCCTGCACAAGGTTGTCACCTTCCTCTTTTTATTCTTTATGAGTTTCAAATCTCAATTATCTTATACTTTTCTTGGTTGACAAATTTCATTCCGACTTTCAAATCCAAGTCGGCTAAGTTTGTCATCATCCCATTCTTTGTATGTTGGGCCCTGTGCGTTGTCTGATCTGGACGGGCTATGAAGTACTTTGTCCTCCTCACTCGGTCCATCACTAAACCATCATTTTGTTTATGAATTTCCCCCCATCTGCCACTCCAACTCTCCAACCCTCTCAGTTTTTGCCCCCAGATGAGTTTTATCAACTGGGGTATCATCGTCAATAGGATCTTGCATGTCCTCCTCCATGAGTAAAGTATCTGAGCTAATGGTGCACTTCACATCCTCGCTCTCCCACTCTCCGGTATCCTCGCTTCACACTGCATTGTCACTCTTGATTTCATTCTCATTCTCCTGGTTGCCCTATTGATGGATCCGCACATCCTTCCAATATACGTCTGCATTCGTGTTGTCAAAGTCATCATCATCACCCTCATCTAAAAAATAAATTATAATATCAACAAAATAATTATATCAACGCTAAGGTGTGAGCATAACAAAAATAGAAGATTTACCTATCCCTTCTTCGTGTTGTGTCCCATATGCATCTACGATGGGGCTGCCATGCTCCTCCTTGCCCCAACCATGTGTGCCCATTGCTTCATTGCAATCAGTTCACATCGGCTCCCCCATGCCCATGTACTCGAAATCCTCATTCGTATCATCATCCCCTCGCTCTCCTCATTCAAATTTGGCCTTGAAATTCCTTTCCTTTTTAGAACCATTTATTCATCACGTAGATCAAATACACTAGTTAAGTCCTCAAGTCTATCCATTTGAAACTCTTCATTCCTAACACTGCAGATATCGTCCATAATGGTTGCCTCATAATCCTCAACAACTGCATAAGCTAGAACGCTACTTTTACCTACTTCCCGAAGTCATTCAAGCATAAAACTTTCATAAGCCCATTGTATGGCATGCCTGTACACATCACATATCTTCATTGGCAAGACCTTATCATCAGCATATATGGAAATTACATCTATACCGTAGTGAATCTTGAACATTTCCAGAATGTCTTTTTCGCATCTAATGAAATAAATTGGACCCTGAAGATTCATTCCATGAGGACTATCAGAGTTCTAATGTGTGAATGCTATAATACCTACCTTTCTTCCAGTGTGGCAATATATGACCAAGATAGCACCAAAATACATCCTATCCCTGTCGATACCTGGAAACCAAACAACCCTGCCACCCATGTAACGGAAACCAGGGCCCTCATACTCATACTCAGTGTATCCATCAACCCACATATATAATTATATATAGTGACTAACTTGTTTATTATATTGAGGACTACAATTACGTGAAATCTGCACCTTCAACACATTGAATATTTGAACCAACCAAATTACACACAATCAATAAGGGAATAAAGTAATTTGACCTAAAAAAGACCAAAATTACAACCTTTTCAACATAGGAACGCATCCGTGGCACATTATGTGGCTGACAGGATATGTTCACTCTTCATACCAAAATGAAACTGAAAGCAATTGTTGTTTTGCACAAAAATATATTCATAATCACAATTCAAGAGTGATTTGAGGAACTTTACCGAAATGAGAAGGATTTCATGTTTGGAGCCCTAGAATCACCGGTCATCTATCAAAATGCCATGGACTTACGAAGCCACAGCTAGACCGGAGCCGGCGTAGCGAAAATTACAGGAGTGAACGGCGACGGCGACGGCGGGCGGAAGATAGGTCGGAGGTCTGGCATTGGGACTGGGAGAAGGAGAATCGCAAATTCAGGGTGTGATTGTGTTTCTCCTCGGTTATGTTATATATGCTTTCCTTTTTTTTTCCTTTTTAAAGGTAAAAATTCTCATAGCAGTATAATGGTTCCCATAACAAAAGTTAACGCCGCCAGTGGATTTCGTAGAAGGAACGAGTGCGTAATATTTTTTAAATTTTGAGTAGGTAATATAGAATTTTAATGGGAATTTGCAGCAAATTATGAAAATCACAGAAAGATTTTATATTCCCTCTCAGATACCGTGTGTTATATTGTAGACACCGTATAATTTGTAGATAATCAAGAATATATTAGTGAAAATAATTATTTTATAATATAAATAATTATAAATTAATATTAAGATAACTAATCAGTCTAATTAAAAATAAAAAAAATAAAATTAAAAAATTTAAAATGAAATTAAAGTGTGTAATCATTTTCAAAAAAATGAAAGTGACATGGTATGTGAACGGACATAAAC